GGAGTGGAATGAGATGGAGCTGATCTGGTGATAGATACACACATTTCAGAAATATTTAAATGTAAAGTATTTCACTCTACAGTTTGCAAATCCAGTTGCACAGAACTTTCTCTACACCCAGGGTCTCTCCTTCCACTCTGGGTCCTGTCACTCCAGGCCCATAAGCCTCCTGCTACTTCTAGGGACTGTCAATCCACCTTGGAGCCCGTCATTCCATTCCCAGAATACTCCCAGGAACTGTCATTCCACTTAGTGGTATCCCATTCCAGTTCCAGAACACTCCTGCCATATCTAGGGGCTGTTATTTGACTCTGGGGCTTGTCATTGCAGTCCCAGAATATCCCCGCTAGTTGCAGGGACTATCATTCCACTTAGTGATCTCCCATTCCAGTTGCAGAACACTCCTACCACTCCGTAGGGCAGTCATTCCAGTCCAAGACCACTCCCGAAACTTCCAGGGGCTGTCATTCCACTCTGGGGCCTGTCATTCTAGTCACAGAACACTGCTGCTACACCCTGGGGCTGTCATTCCACTCCGTGGTCTCCCGTACCATTCCCTGAACACTCCTGCCAGTTTGGTGCAGTGGTTAAGTGTGCGGACTCTAATCTGGGAGAACCAGGTCTGATTCCCCACTCCTCCACATGCACCTGGCTGGATGACCTTGGGCAAGCCGTAGTTCTGATAAGAGCTGTTCTTGAAAAAAGTGCAGTTTCTGTCAAGAGCTCTCTCAGCCCAACCTACCTCACAGGGTGTCTGTTGTGGGGAGGGGAAGGGAAAGGAGTTTGTAAGCTGCTCTGAGACACTTTTGGGTTGTGAAGGGTGGGGTCTAAATCCAATCAAGGGTGGGGTATAAATCCAATCTCTTCTTATTCTTCTTCCTGCTACCCCCAGGGGCTGTCATTCCCTTCCGTGGTCTCGCATTTAAATAATTCTATAATGTATGTAGCTATCACCAGATGAGTTCCATCTCATTCCACTCTGGGGCCTCTCGTCCCAGTTCCAGAACACTCCTGCTCCACCTGGGCCTGTCATTCCACTCCGTGGTCTCTCATTCAGGTCCCAGAGCAGTCCTGCTCCACCTGGGGCTGTCATTCCTCTGGGGGCCTGTCATTCCAGTCCCTGAACACTCCTGCTCCACCCTGGAGCTGTCATTCCACTCTGGGGCCTGTCATTCCAGTTCCAGAACACTCCTGCTATCCCCAGGGGCTGTCATTCCACTCCGTGGTCTCTCATTCCATCCTCAGAGTAGTCTGTTTGGGCCCAGAGACCCTAATGGAAAATCCATTCCACGTTTTTATTGCAACTCTACTTGTACTGTAATGTATTTCAATGAAGGCCATGCAAGTCAATTGGCA